GCTTTATATATTTTGACTAAAATTAAGTAATTAATCCCTCACTTAAGTTTATATATCGGTAATCGATAAATCGATTAGTCTCCTTAAATTTACGACCACCTCAAACTCGATCAGGCCCGCTTAAGGCTAGAAGCTATCAATACAATTCAGATAAAGATATTAATTTATCAGTCCATCGAATTATATACTCCTTTTAGACAAAAGCTCCTTTACGCTTAAAAAAAGATTTGTGTAAAGATAATAGATTATCAAATGATATGGATTTATGGACATATTGATCAATGGATAAACTGAACTGAAACTTGTATGACATTATATACATATTAAATCAAAATTCGGTCACCCAAAGATTGTTAATGTATCATAGTATAATATGTATATGGCCCTATATTATGAAAAGCTCAAACCAATATACTCTTCTGTCGCTTAGGAACAATATATTTAGTAAGAATACTCGTACAGTAAAAGAACACCTCTCTCTCTCTCTCTCTCTTTCTCTCTTTCTCTCTCTGCTTCTTGCGCTCATGAGTTCTCGTGAGTTTTCCTGCCGTGTCTGTAAGTTAAAACTTCTCTGTTTCCGCGTTACGTTCATATAGAACATTTACGAAACTTAAAAAAATAAAAGGAAAACTCATAAATTGCAATGAAACAAGCTGAAACAAAGGAATAAATCTAGCTGACATGCAGCAGAAGAAGTTGCTAATATTGGGGAGTGAAAATTAAGGAGTAATTTTAGCTATGTACATATGTATATAATATATTAATACATGTCTATGTATGTACATACATATATCATTATGAGACCTCCTTGTATCTATAGAATGTAATACAAGTCCAGGTTTCTCCTTCCTAGTGAATTTAACTACTATTTTGAGAAAGTTTGCTGCACGCATTATTATAGCAATAAGAGCAAAAACAATTATTTTGATAGTTTCCATAATTGAGTTTTGTCTGAAGACATTCCATCTCAATTATGGCCAAGTACTTCTTCGGCTACAACTAGTTGCAATCAAATGTAATCAGAGCAAATATTGTTAGTACAAAGAGGGCGAGGAAGATGAAGAAGTAGAAGTAAAAGGAGAAGAAGAGCACGCAGCCCGACATGCAGAAACATGTTTGTCGTCAGGTAACGCAGTTGATTACAATTAATGGCGGCAATTTGTTGTTGTTGCTGCGCTTTATATGCGATTGTTATTAGTGGGGCGGATAATATCTGTTGTTGGGTGGAGCGTATGGAGGGAGAATGGAGGACCGTGTGTTATTGCTCAAGACAAAACTGCCGAAGAACAACAGTAGCAACAACAACAAAACGTTTTCGGCGAAAGGCAACAAATACGCTGAGCGGCATAAAAAGGCAAAAGGAAAGCTAAACCAAGCCAAGCCGAAAAGAACGAAAGTGGAAAGCAAAACGACAATGACTGGCAAAGGCATCGTAAAACGCGGCCATAAAGTAAGCGGAAAACAAGTAAGAAGGCTCCAGTCGAGACTGCTCGACTAGGAGATACCCTGAACCCTCTAAGCTGATATTCTAATCATTCTGCACTTCTTTTATGCACACATACATACACATGCATTCACACGCACGCATAAGCCTGCGCTCTGCTAACTGCGCAGTAAGCAGCGACTGCGCTTGGGCTGCGCTGCAGTGTGAGCAATATTATGAGAATTTATTTGTTGAATAATTTCTTTTGTAAACATAGGATCTTAATAAAACTTTCAGAGCGTATTCATATGGTGAATATGTGTGTACATTTTAAAGCACAAGTCTCTAGTACTTTAAATGCGTTTTTTACAAATTGGGGGCGAAGGGGGCGTGGTATCCAAAATCTGTAAATGACAAAATTTGTATCCATTAACTTTATATACAACGTAAATTTGAAGACTCCAGGTCTAAAAGTGTTCAAATTAGGCTAAAATAACAAAATCAATTTTTCGATTATTGTCGATAAAAAGTTATCGGATGAGTTATCGAAAAAATAAAGAAAACTCGTAATGCGTATGGTACACACGAGTATGCATGCCAAATTTCAGCTCTCTAGCTCTTATAACTTCTGAGATCGACGCACTCATACGGACCGACGGACAGAGCTATATCGACTCAGCTCGTCGCGCTGATCAAGAATATATATACTTTGTGGGGTCTGCCACGCCTCCTTCTGCCCGTTACATACTTTTTCACAAAACCATTATACCCTGATTTCCCATTTTCAATGGGTTCAGGGTATAAAAAGAACGAGAAAAATATATAAAGCAATGAAGACGCGCACAGGAAAAGATGCCGGGCTGCTTATATGTATGCAAACGTGTTTGTGTGTGTGCCTGTGTGTGTGTGTGTGTAAAAAATGGGTGGCTTGGCATGTAACAGACTGAGCCTTGCCCTCAGCAGCAGCGGCTAAAAGTCTGCACAAAATGCGCTCAATTCAGAAGCAGTTGCTCAAATTTTGAACTCAACTCAAAAGAAGAGAGAAGAGAACGAAACTGAGAGAGGGAGAGCGAGAGCGTAAGTGCCGCTGAGTGAGTACTTAACAGTTACAGCTGCTTGGACTCACGTGCTAGCTGAGAGTGTAACGCAAGTAATAACTGTGTTTGTGCTATTCCCTACTTCCTACCAGTAACAGTGACCTAAAGCAGCACTAAATCATGGTGAAAAAAAAGTGTGAGGTATTTTATTTGTAAGTTTCGAAATATTAATGAATGCATATATTTCTATACATAAAATTATATACATATGTACATATATGTTCAATTGAATACAATACTGTTCTAAAGGAAGGAAAGGTATATTAAGATTAAAGTTTATTTTTCAGCTGCACTATAGAGGCAGGGAAAAAAACTTCCATAAAGAAGTCGACAAAAATAGTATACAGGAATTTATTTAAAAAATTAATAATATACAAATGATAACTATATTGTATATATAATTTTTTTTTTTTTTTTTTTTTTTTTTTTATATATATTTTCTACTGCATATAACACTGTTCTATATTTAATTTTTTCGTTAAATAACCAACTTATTGCAGATATGATTTAGAAAATAGACTGACATTAGATGTCGTAAATTCAAATACAATATATGTATATATAACATTGTTGCGAGATTTTTCTATTTTTAAATAATTTTGACTATAAAATTTAGAATTTATATCTAATTTAAATATTTTTATCATGAATTGAAAAATGGGTATATTCGAATTAAAATTATATTTTCTGGAAGGCTTGCATTCTTGAATATCGATCGTTAAGAATAGATGAGGTACAATGCGTTTTTCACCACTGTAACTGCGCCTTAGCGTATTCTCAAGACTGGACTCAATGCTCGCTTGCACGCCCTCTCGCAGGCTGGCGCTCTCTCACTCTCTCTCTCTCTTTGCTTTAGGCAAACATATTTGTGCTCAACGCAGGCGCATAGCTTGCATTGCCAGGCGGCAGCAGCGACAGCAGCAACAACAATAAAATTCAATAAAATGTTTGCCGACAGTTTTTTTTTTTTTTTCGTTTTTGTTTTTACTGCGTTTGCTTGCTGTAATTCGTATTTAGCTGTTGTTGTAGTTGTTGCTCAATGGACAGCAGCTGCCGGCCCCTGTGCGTATGCAATGGAATTGTTGTTGCTTGCCACTTGAGTGGCGAAAAAAGAAAAGGAAGAACAACAAAATAAAAGACGAGAGTGTAGCTCGAAACCGTTAATAGCTGCCACGCTGCTGTTTTCGGCATCGAGGAGTTGATATTGTTGTTGTTATATTTGGTATAATGGTATAGTGGTGTAACGGTGTAATCGTGTAACGGTAACGGCAACGGTGTAACTGTGTATACAAAGGAGGTCACTTACCTTTTGCAATAAGGAGCCGCTCTTAGCTTCGTTGTTTGTTGATATCGTCGTTGCTGTTGTTGTTGTTGTTGTTATTGCTGCTGCTGCTGCACTGCATCGTCATCATAATAATCAGCAACATCAGCAGCTTCATTATGATCATCAGCAACAAATTCGGTTGTTGTTGTTGTTATTAAATTTTTTGCACACCGCTTTTTATTCAAATAGATACGCTCATATATATATATATATATTTTTTTTTTTATTTTCATTTATTTATTTTTAATTTTTCATTTGAAACGTTAATAATAATTTTTTGCAGCTTTTCGCATTTGTATTTTATTAGCATTTCATAATTTCGCCCGCTCGTAATTTAAAACAGCGTTTTCTATTTTCTTTCTTTCTTGCACACGCACACGAAAAAAACAACAAAAAATAACCGAAAAAAAAGAACAACAAATATATGCAAAACACTGAAAAAACAGGGTATAAAAACTAGAGCAACAACTGTGCGTTGAGCAGAATTTGCTGAAATGATTTTATTGTGGATATATTTGAAATTTTTGGATTTTGAATTTGTGCTGAATTTTTGTTTTTAAACTTTTTCTGCAGCCAAGGCAACAAAACAACGTTAGCCGCACATGGCCTAGGACGACGCTGCGGTTGCCTGCACTGATTTTCAGAGCGGATGCTTTGAAGCCGCTGCCTCTGTCGCTGTCGCTGTCGCAGTCGGTGTCGCTGCCTGGCGCTGACGCTGGCGCTGGTGCTGGGGTGCTGCTGACGCTGTAAGACGTTTCGTTTTGTTGTTTATTTTGTCAGCAGTGGCGGCGACTGCTGCTGCTGGTGCTGCTGTGTGCTGCTGTAACTGGAGCTGTAACTGTGTGTGGCGCTCTGTGGCTGCGGATTTGGCTATTGTTTTCATTGTAGTTGTAGTTGTTGCTGCGCTCAATTTGTTCTCTTTGCGCTTTTGCCTGCCCAGCTTGGCTTAGCGGCGACGTCATCAACACACCGTTAGCTGGCGCAGGCGCTCCAGCAAACTCAACTCAAACTCAACTCAGCGCCAAGAATAACTCAACTCAACTCGGTTGAGTGCAACTCAAAGCTTTAACTCACCTCGACTGTTGTTTATCAGCTACTGCTGCTGCTGCTGCTGCTGCTACTGCTGCTGCTGTTGTTGTTGTTGCTGTTGCTGTTGCTGCGGCGTTTCCCGCTTTAACCGCTTATCGCATTGATTTCTGATAACTTTTTTACGTTTCTCTTCTTTATATTTTGTATTTGTATTTTTATTTATTTTGTATATTTTTTAACCACGCACACAGTAAAAAAAAGTGTAAAAAATGACAACATGAATATATGTATATATAATATACATATATATGTATTTATTTATTTATTTTTATTTTTTTTTTTCAACCAACGTTCACTTAGCGTAATTTATGCGCTCTTATCAGCCACTGACTAGGCCACACGCACACACGCACGCACGCTCACACACACATGGGCGATAGTTTGACTGACAATCGTTAATCGCAATCAAAATCAATCAACGATCGCGCGCGCGCGCGCTTGAAGCGCAGGGGGAGGAGGAGGGGGACTGGGTAAGCCAGGGCAGAAGGAGGAGGCTGTAGGTGCAGCAATTACACTGATCAAATGTGAGCTACGATCACTGGTGGCCGTAGCAGCGCTGAAGCGTAACGCCGCGGCAAATTGAACTGAATCAGCCACTGGTGTGGTCTCTCTGGTCAGGTCTGGTCCGGGCCGCACGAATTGGAAACTGAATTGGAAATAGAAAACCCATTGAGACAACTGAATCAGAATCACAGGCGGACACAGCATATACAACTACATATAGAAATATGCATATGTGTGTGTGTGTGTGTGGATGTATGTATATTCTTTATGTGAACATGTGCTGGGCACACACACACCCGAACACGATTTTAATCACACACGCAAAATAATAAAATTGAAATGAAAAACAGAGCCGAACCGAACCGAACTGAACCGAACCGCACCGAGCGCAATGCAATAGCGGGAAACACGCAGAGCCAAAGCATCGAGCGACGAGCGACGAGCATTGAACGTTCAGCGTCAACGTCGGCGTCGACGTCGACGTCCGCTGCGCATCGCATCGCCCAGCAATGAATGATCAACGGTTCGCTTGCATTACAGAATGCAAATTCGTGTTCAGCTCGGTTGACTGCCAAATGCGCTGCAGCCGAGACTATTGTGGATAGAATGAGGCACCTGGATAAAAGCTTTATACGTACATATGTATGTATGTATGTATGTATGGATATATGCCTTTGCATGTTATTCTAATTTAGTACTCAGAATACTTTGTAACAATATCAAAAACCTAAAAATAAAATGTAGAGTATTTATTTGAGAATATGAGAATTTCATTTTGCAAAGTGAAGTAATAAGAAGTTTTGAAGGAATTCTAGAGAATTACAACTTGAACAAGCTAAGTATTTTCTGTTTACGCTTTTAAGTGTATTTTGTGGTATGAGAATTTCATTTGAGTATTTGAGCAACTTTGTGAAAAGTTTGACATTTCTTGATGATATGACAATTTCATTTGAGTATAATATTAAAAGCTCGACAACAATTTCAGAGAATTCCAGTATTTCTGTAAGATATTCAGCTGAGTGTTACTTTGAAAAAAAAAACAAAAAAAAAAAAACTTGTATATGATTATGAGTGAATAATATATATATTTATTATCTTTTGGACTAGTTTGTCACTAAGGGCAACAGAAAACGTGTTTAGTTCAACATATAATTTTTATTTACAAATAAATAATAAATATACATACATATATACATATCTAATTACATATTTATTTAAATATTTTTCAATTATTATAAATAATAGATATATATGTATAAAAGTATTATCTTTAATAAATTTATATGAAATCGTTTTTTTTTTTTTTTCATTTCCATTTCATAATATATAAATTTATGGCATCAGCTCTCTCATCTTCAATTACCAATAACTAATATACCTGCTCCAAAAAGGGCATTCGCTTGCATTTGAATTGTTTGATACAATTGAGATACCCTACTAAATTACATTCAAATAATCATGTTATTGGAGCTGCAATCTTGCCCGCTCGTGTGCTCCCTACCTGCACTTCCACTCTCTCTCTCTCTCTTTCTCTTTCCCTCTCTTTCTCGCCCCCCATTCTCATGCTCTCCCTCTCATCACTCCTCCCACTATTTCGCCCTTGTTGCTGGGCGTTTCGCAGACGCCGCCGCGCTCGGTTGCGATCAATCTGTTGCTCGCGTTGTTGCTTGATCACGCTCTGATATTGAGTGCATATGTCTATATATGCATGTGTGTGTGTTTGTGTGTGTTTGCTTGTGTGTGTGTGTGTGCTGCCTTTTAGGCAAAGGCACGCAACGATCATCAACATTCCTTATGGAATAGGCAAAACGAAATTGATCGATGCTCGCCAAATAATGCTGTTGCTTGTTGTTGTTGTTGTTATTATTGTTTGTTACTATTATAATTACAATTAAAGTAAAGCAACTGCGACGTTGTCACAGCAACAACAACAACAATAACAACAACAGCAATCACAGCTCTGACGTCGACAGCCATCAGCAGTAAAATCAAACAAAAACAAACAAACCGCACGAACCGAACGAACCGAACCGTTTCGCCCGTTTCGCCCGCTCCGCCCGGCGCTGGTCGATCCAATCGCAATGTGGAAGGGAAGACAACTGCGTCGCCGTCGCAACTCAACTGCGAACTATAACTGCGATAACGACGACGCGTCGCAACGTCGACATATGTATGTAGCTGCTGCTGCTGCTGCTGCTGCTGCTGCTGCGCTGCCCCACTAGCTCTGCGCGCTGCTATTGCCTTTCCCGTTAACGATTTTCGCTCTGCGCGCTATTTGGCGAAATGGGCGCCAGCGTCCGCCTGTGTCGTCATTAGCGACAGCAACGTGAGCGTCGCGACGTCGACGTCGACGTCGACTTCATTTGTTTGTTTGGCTTGTTGCTGTGGTTGTTGCTGTTGTTGGCGCTGTCGACGCTGTCGGTGCGTCTGGTTGGAGTCTTATCAGAGCGGCAGCCAAACAGCGCAAAGTTTTGCGGCTCTGATAACGGGATGGCCGTCCCCCCGGCTAGTGGAGAGAGTGAGAGATGCGATAAGAGTTGTCAGACTGCCCCAGTGGCCAATATCCTAAATATTGGCCATCGATTGCCACCAACTAGGAACTATCGACTGTCGATAGTTGGGATTGTGTGATCGGACGATTGACTCAATATTGGTAAGCGGTTAGCGGTTGTTGACTTTGCAATAACTATCGTTTATCAACTATCAATTATTGACCATCAACTATCGACCTTGGACTTATTATTGGACGATTATTGCCAATCGATTATTGGCTATAGGCTAGAGAGAGAGTTAGAGATTGAGAGAGAGAGAGAGAGAGAGAATGAAACAGAAAGACTGAATGAGGTACAACGAGAGGGATAGAGGGATAGAGGGAGAGAGAGACTGAGGGAGTAAAACAGACAGGTGGACGATAGTGAAAGTAAAAGTGAAAGTAAGTGAGAGTGAGATACCGATATTGAGCATGAAATTGAGAAACAGAGATTGTGAGTAGAAGAGAGAGAGAGAGAGAGAGAGAGAGAGAAATATGAGCGCGAAAGAAAAGGACACAAAGAGAAAGACTAAAAGAGAGTAGGAAAAGGAGTTCTTAGAAAGAGGGGGGAAGGAAGGAATTTTTGCGATGCATTGAGATCTAGGAATATGCTATGAGAAAGAGAGAAGAGACAACATACAACAACAAAGAACATGAGAAATTAAGTGAGCGAGAGTGAATGAGACACACATAGATGGAGTGAGAGAGATTTATAATCGACTGTGGATAGAGAGGGAGCGAGGAACTGAACGTAAATGTAAATAGGAATTACAATTAGATTGCAAAAGAATGCAAGAGCGAGACAGACAGCTATAGCGCTGCACTTTTCACTCATTCCCGTACATCGCTCTGAGGCAATAATGTGTCGGTTTTCAGTTTTTGGTTTTTGGTTTTCTATATCGCAGTGCCAACAGCTGCTGCAAATTCAAAGAGTTTCGCCGAGTGTGAATCTTTGATTTGCAATGGAATTTGTCGCCATAATGGAGATGGTTAGGAGGACGGTGAGGCAGGGGCAGGGGCAGGCGCAAATCCTGAGTGGGGCAGACGCATGTGGGGCACATTTTTGTTGATATATGCATTAAATATGCTCTGGTTGTTGTTGTTATTGTCGTTGTTGTTGCTGAACTAAATGCGTCAATTAAATTTAAAAAAATGAGTGAGAAATGTGTAGAAATATAGAGAAAGCGCGCAGCTAGAATATAGATATATACAGATACATAAATATATATAGATATATATTATATATATATACGTACACCCACACCTGAGTGCTACTGTGTGTGTGTGCAGAAATTATTAATAAATTATGATTTTGGATGACACTATAAATCGCACGAATATACAGAAAATGTTCTCTCTGTGCGGGTGTGTGTGTGTATGTGTGTGTGTGTGTTTGTGATGCTAATCAACAACGCGTTGAGCGATTTAAAACAACAACTAAAACAAGTGAGCGTGCTCTAGTCGAAACCGCTCGACTACGAGATTCTCTAAGCCCTTCGCACAAAATTCCAAAATTACCACCAATACAAGCACATAAAAAAATCAAAATTTTATAAACAACACGTAAATTGGTATGCAAAATTTTGAGACTCTAGCACTAAAGATGTAGAAGATATAATTTGATAACTGACTTTCGAAAGGGTTTTTACTCGATATTACAGAAACCAAAATAGTTATCGATTTTTTTTTTTCACAAACTCTATCCGTGTGTGCTCTACACGGGTCAACAATTCAAGTTTCTGGCTCCTAGAGTTTCTGAGATCGACACAGACGGAGAGACACACTAACAGACCTTGAGACAGGCGGCCAGGGCTGAATCGACTCAGCTTTTCGCTCTGATCAGAAATATATGCCCTTTATAGGGTACGCCCCGACTCCGACTATGTGTGACATACATGATCACAGAACCATTATGCCCTGCTTTGCACGTTTTCAATGGGCTTAGGGTAAAGCAGCAACAACAACAACAACAGGTTGAGCCATTGAAACGATCATGGCAAATTCAATATGAGGCACTCAAATCTATCTATGCATCCATATAATCATTGCCATCTATGTATAACCAAATAAACATACATATATATATGCATGTGTGCTGTGTGTGTGTGTGTGTTATAAGTAACCCATCTGTATAAAGCACAAGTGTTGTTTGCGCTATTTTTGAAATCTTTAATTTAATTTATTCCTCAAATTTTTTGTAGATTTTTATTAGCTTCTTTAACGACATTTCGCTGCTTTTGGCAGCCATTCGCTCCACTGTGCCCCCCACCACCACCCCCACGAGCACCAGAAAGCCAGCCAAGCCAACCAGGCCCAATCGCAGCTGAAAACGAAAACGAAAGCAAAGCGAACCCATCCCAATGACCAGATCCAATAGTCAGCCCAATTTCCACCAGAGTCCATCATCGGATGGTTGTCCGGACTGGGGGCTACGGTTACGTGGGGTTCATTAAGAATTTTTAGTTTTTAATTGACAAACGAATGCGAGAAAATAAATTAATAAATAAATTGAAGGCAACAACAACTTAAGAAATTGCCAGCGAATAGACATCAGAAATATATATATATATATTCATATATATATTCATATATACATATATATATATATATGTATTTATTTTCGATATTAGAATCTTTGAAATGCGCCAAAAAGATGTCAGGGGCTAGAAATTGGAATGCGAAAGCAATGTTGACAGCGAGTCCAACTATTAACGGATCCAAATCTGTGTATGTCTATGGCTATGTGTGTGTGTGTGTGTGTGCGGGCCGTGCAAATTGTTGGCCAAGAATATGGCAAGGTGAGGCGAGAGCTGAGCGAGCGCTCTACATGAAAGTTACATCAAAAGATATTAGAAAACTTATCGGAGCATTAAGTATCCCCATTACTTCATACGCACGATTGATGAACTAAAGATACCCAGCAATGCGCAATGGGGCATATGAAGTGGAGCAATAAGCTTGGGATTTATGCCATAGAGTAATATCATTTGGCATAATTATTAGCCATTATTAATTAGGGATGGGTCAGAGTTGCACCGTTATTAATAATTTAATAGATCGTTACAAAAGTTTTTCATAAATTGAAATATTAACTACACTAAGGCATATTATTCATTATTTATTGCACATTATTAAATAACTTTACTCAGTATTTATTACTTACTACTCATTATTCATTACTCAAAATATATTACTCATTAGTCTTCACTCATTACCCATTATTCATTGCTCATTGCTCATTATTCATTACTTATTACCTATTACTCATTATTTGTTATTCACTACTAATTATTTATTGATTACTCATTACTGATTACTCATTACTTTTCACTCATTACCCATTATTCATTGCTCATTGCTCATTACTTATTACTCATTACTTTTCATTCATTACCCATTATTCATTGCTCATTGCTCATTACTGATTGCTCATTACTTTTCATTCATTACCCATTATTTATTGCTCATTGCTCATTACTGATTACTCATTACTTTTCATTCATTCATTGCTCATTGCTCATTACTGATTACTCAATCCTTCTCATTCATTACCCATTATTCATTGCTCATTGCTCATTACTGATTACTCATTACTTTTCATTCATTCATTGCTCATTGCTCATTACTGATTACTCAATCCTTCTCATTCATTACCCATTATTCATTGCTCATTGCTCATTACTGATTACTCATTACTTTTCATTAATTACCCATTATTTATTGCTCATTGCTCATTACTCATTATTCATTACGCATTGCTCAAATAATGAGTTTTTTTACTCATTACTGATTACTCATTAATCTTCACTGATTACCCATTACTCATTGCTCATCACTCATTACATATTATTCATTATTCATTGCTTATTGCTTGTTATTCCTTAAGCATTATGCATTACTCAATATTACTTTCAAAAATTACCATTTCTATTTTCATAAAGCTTATTCTAATTTGTACATGGTTTCTATAATAAAATGCGATTTCAGGGTTGATATTTTTTTCCCAGGTCCCTTTGTTTATTAACATACAAATTTTCAGGCTAACTGAATTTTCAATATTATTTAGCAACTTTAGGTCAATGTGAACTTCATGTACTCTAATTCATAAATTCATATTTCATAAGTTGTGAAAATGGAATTCAAAGAAGATAATACCTATCTGAATTTTTGAAATCACTTTAATCCGCAATAAATAAACAAATTTGTGTTTTACTAACGAGGCCATACTGCACTCATGCAAACATTGGGTGTACTCATTTCTGATGCCTTCCGGTTTTATTTTGATATCGCTTGAAGTTTCTCACTTTTAAATATAACTTTCAGAAACTTGTCAAATTTTGATGTGTTTATCCAATAATTACATATATATATGTATGCTGTGAAAACGATCTAGGTAAACTAGTTAACAACAAGAGTTATCTAGAGTTTCGTGGCTCATTTTCCGGTCGCTCAAGAGCAGAATCAAGGGCAACTCGGGCCGCGTCACGGCACGATTCCATAAGTCATCCGATCGCTTAGCTTTATTTGTCGATTTAATTTAATTGAGTTTATGCTTCCCACTTGGCTCAGATATTCTCTATAGATATGGGTATATGCATATGTATGTATGTATGTCTGTTTTTTTTTTTTCTTTTTTAACAAGGTGCAGAATTTTATTAGCACCACGCCGTCAAATGAACGAATCTCGTTTATTAGCATGGAATGTAAATAATCCAAATACAATGCTGAGTCTCTAAGAATCTTGGCTAACTGGCAAATAGAGCAAAAGAAAGGGGAACTTAGACGGGCTAGGCGCAACAGTTAGTCCAGTCCATGCCTCCCGCCTCCATCCTCAGGGCAGTGTAAACTGGCTGGGCTGCGGGCTAAAGGGTTTAAAGGGCTTAAAGGGTTTGCTGCAGCACACCACAAAAAGCTTAACTCTCGGTCTGCCCCCATTGCTCAGTCTGTGTGTGCGTGTGTGTGTTTGCGTGTGTGTTTGCGTGTGTGTGTTTGTTGCCTTGTTACCTACATTTGATTTGGCTAATATTTAATGGCTGTTGCTTGTTTTTATGCACATTATTTGTTTGTGGTAGAAGCGCGAACACACGCACGTTCCACAACAACGCTGCGATAATAACGGTAACGGCATGTAAACAGTACGACGCGTCACTTACAATACGAAACGGAATGGAAGTGGAACCGAAACCGTAACTGAAACCCAAACCGAGCAACGAACGCACAGCAAGCGCTTAAATGTTTACCGTTCTCGCTGTCGGCACTGCCGCTGCCGCCGCTGCTGCTGCTGTTGCTGTTGCTGTTGCTGCTGCTGTTGCTATTGCTGTCGCTGTCGCTGCTGTTGCTGCTGACGACGCGCCATACGATTCGTCCTGCCCGACGACGTGCGTGCTAATAAAACGCCGACGATGTCGAGGCGGCCAGGTTGCTGCCTGGCTGCTAGCGCTGTCTGCTGCCGCGGCTGCTACGGCTGCCGCGGCTGCTGCTCGCTTTCAAGCGAGCCCCCAACAATTGAGTGAGATCTCAAGCGAATTGAGTTGAGTTCAAATTGAGTTGAATTCGAGTTGAGTTCAGTTTAGCTATGGCCATTGAGTTGCGCTCAACAGCGTGTTTATTGCGCTCGCTCTCTCTCTCTCTCTCTCTCCCTCCCTCTCTCTCTCTCTCTCTATTTTCATGCACACGCACACAGGCACACGCACGCACATGCATTCGCATACTCGGCGCACACAAACACACAGACACGCACACAACTAGACGAACGCCAACCTTCGCTGGCTAGCGGTCAAATACAGTTATGCGGCTTATTCACTATTATTATTTGCATGGAATTGTATTGTCGGTGGCGCTCTGCGACTTTGCCTCGTCGAAGAAGAGCTTCAGCAGATCGGGCTTCAGCAGCTGATCGCCATCCAAACGCTCCGAGTTGTTCCAGCGCAGCAGTGCCGGTATAACGGTCAGATTGAACGGCGGCAGGCGAAATTTGTTGGCCGGCGATTTGTCCTTCCAGGCGGTGCGATCGCCCACGTTCACCGTGTAGATCAAGGAATTTGGATGCGAATATTCACGGAATGCCGTCTCCACCAGATCCTCAACTGGCGATGGAAAAATGCATTTCATTAAAAACACCATTCGTATCCATATTGGGGGCACTCACCTGCCACACAGTCGGGACACCAGCTGCGACCCGTGCTGTCCTTCTCGCCAAAGAAATACATATAGATGAGGCAGTTGTTCTTGGCGTGCACCTTCAGTGCATCCTCCAGCTGCTTGAAGCCCGTTATTGGCACGTATTGCGGCATCGTGCTGCTTTGCTGTTGCTACTCACTTACTTACTGATTGGGATTGTACGATAAGATTTCTTTGTTTCTGATTAGCTTGGCTGTTCTTTTAACGTTTTCTTTTTTACAGCCACCTAAATTGGTCTCATTTGCCAGCAACAACAACAAAAACAATAACAATGGAAACACTCAGCAATGCAGTGCCGGCAATTTATTGTTTTCCGTTGTACGGTAACACATACATACTAGCGTTATTTTGGTATATTTTTTCGGGATTTTCTGCTGTGCACTTAATACTGCATGTGAGCCTCTTTGCAATGGTTGGCAACGTACATTGTGCAAGACATTGCGCGCCAAGTTCAAAAAGTCTACAATTATTTTATTTTGAGATTACGAAAATTTTCATGACACGAACTAATGAAATAAATTATATGAAATTATTAAATATAGATTTGTTTTTTAATTTTATTTTTAGGTAGGCGTAGTTTTATATTGTATGTTTTTTTTATGAGCATAACATTACCAATGCTTTTTATGTCAAATTTTTTTTTGTTTTTTGTTTTTTTGCGAGCTCCCCTTTCTTGCCTTCTCTTTTACACTCACGTAGCTAACGCCCTTCTGTGCGCTTCTCAACCTAACATTGCTTAATCATGGAACTTCTGCAATTTTAGATTATTCTCCTATATGCTTGCGCTCTCTTTCGCACTCTCATAGCGAACGCCTTTCTATGCGCTTCTGCGTGACCTTGAGCAGCTTATAAGATTTCTTCATTCGCTCGCCCATCAATGAAAACCGAAACATTTCTAGAGTTTCGCAGATTCTGGGTATTATGCAACGCAGCTTTCGATCGCCCTGACCCAAAAAGCCCCACAAAGCTGTCAACGCAGCTGCCAAACTTGAACTTCACAGAGCTCGGGGCAAAGAAAAGTGCAAACGTCGTCAAATCGAGTTCCATAAAATGCGAGAGCGAATCACCAAAAGTAAACAGAACTCAACTGAGATTCAAAGATGGGTGAGTACAGTGGGCATTGCTATAGGATTTTACTCAGTTCAATATTCTCATCTCTCCGTTGTCCTTTGTCCCTTGCCCTTTGCAGTTAGTGATCAGGGTTTAAGGAGGACGCTGCTGCTGTTGGCGCTGACGTTTCTGGTGGGGCAGCAGCTGGTGGGTGCCAGCAAGATCGCCTACAAGAAGCCGTTGTACGGCAAGATGAGCCACTTCAAGGATCGACGAGTCAAGCAGCGCACGACGAGCAGCCCGACCACGCAGGGCACCACGCAGGAGGCGGATTGGCCAGCGCCCGTTGAGTTCATCATCAATAGCAGCACCGTCAAGGCGTTGCCCCAGGAGGAGCAGCTGGAGAGCAGCACGGGCAGCAGCAGCACCTTTGTCCACCCCTCCTCCACCACAACTGCCACCTCCATCATCGGCAGCAGCACGCCCCATCCAGAGCAGGAGGAGCTGGAGCAAGAGGATCTGCAGCAGGAGCCTGAGCTAGGCAGCAGCTCCACCACCAGCACGCCCGGCAGCCTCGACAACACGCTGCCCTCGCCGCCAGCGCCAGCTGGAGCAGATCCGCAGCAGCCGGTGCCCTGCACCTGCGGCGTCTTTCTCACCTCGCAGATCAAGAACGGGCTGCCGGAGACACCGCTCATCCACAACGAAATGGATCGCATGTATCCGTGCAATGCCATCGGACGCAAGCAGTGCCAAACCAAGTGCCTCGAGACGGTGAGTTGCAACAGCAGAGCCCAAAGCATAGTCAAGTGTTAACGCCATCTCTCTCTCTCCCTCGGTGTCTCTCCCGCGCAGATCGTACAGCATCTGCCCAACTCGGCGAACATTGTGTGCTCCGCACTAGGCCACAATTGCCACAAGGAGCGTGCCTATCTGTTTATCAAGAACTGTCAGAATGTCTGGGTCAATACGAATCTGCAGGCCGGGCGCGAATACTGCTGCAAAGAGGGGCAGCCCTATCGCTGTCCCTTGCTGGGCTGAGCTGATAAAACACAACAGAAAATACTGTTTTTAATAAATAACCTGTCGCTGTAAACAATAAAGTCTTAAATTATGCAACGAAAAAAGTTAGAGGTTTTAAAAAACTACTTCTATCGATAGTTGGCGCCAGTTGCCTGCTTTCAGCGATAGTTGCTGGCAAAAATAAATTTTTGAAAAATACCTCAAACGAAAGTTGGCGCCAATTGCTTGTTATTCCATACATCGCTTTTAGTAGTCTGCGCTATTTGGCAGCATTGTGGAACTTAACTGCTTAATGTTATATGTCATAAAATAATATATTCTACATTATTTTCTTTCTTTTTGAATATTTTATTATAGCTACAAATATCGTTAGGTTTGAAAAATCATCTAATCGATAGCTTCTGTTGAAATTTCTATCGATATTTGGTATTTGGTATTTTTTTAAATTTACCATAAGCAAACTGTCAAGTATAAAGTCGTTTGCAAAGCCTACTTTTATTCATGAAATTGAATTATAAAAGTGAAAATTAAATAAATTTTTTATAAATCAAAGTAGGCGTTGATAAAATTTTTGCCTATATAAGGCCGCTCCGGGGCCGGTTGAAGTCAGTCCAGAATAGTGTCTGGAAGCTGAAACAGCTTTGAATTTATTTAGAAAAATAGTAAAAGTTAAAATTGTTAAATTTTGTTTTGTGTGAATTTTTTTGGTGTTATTTTTTTTATTTTTTTTTTAATTTTTTTTTCCTTTATTTTTTTTTTCTTTGGAAATTTTATGTTTTTTGGCAATTCAGTACAAATGAATTTTACGTTTATTCAAATTTACTTTTGGGCTTTGCTTCTCATTTCGTTCGTGTTTATCGTGCGGTTTATTTTTGCTGCTCTGCTCAAACCGCCTGGGCACACTCAGCCGAACCAACTAGATTTTTGTTAAGGTGAATTGCACTAAATTTCGCGTTTTTGCTATTTAATTAACGTTTTTTTTTATTTGTTTGTTTTTTATTTTTTTATTTTGTTTTTTTCGTGCTCAGCATTTTGTAATATAACTCCTGCAAAATGGTTTGCGTGCCCTGCTTCATCGTCCCGCTGCTGCTCTACATCTGGCACAAATTCGTCCAGCCAATTTTGCTGCGCTACTGGAATCCCTGGGAGAAGAAAGATGCGGAGGGCAACGTAATCAAGGCCGGGCCAGAGTTCCCGTTCGAGTGCAAAGGCGGCGTCTGCCCCTTCGTACCCGGCGGCACGAAGCAGGAGCAAAATGCGAACGGAGATCGAATTGCAGGCGGAGCTGAAACAGGAGCTACAACAGAAACAACAACAGCAACAGCAACAAAAACAACGACAACAGCAGCCACAACAACAAAAATGGAGCAATCGCCGTCTAGCACCCCAATCGAATCCAAGAAAAACATATAAGTTCCGATATATGCGTTTCTGATTCGTTAAACGGTATTGCTACTTTTTTTTGTTTTTTCTTTTTTTTTTTTGCTTGCTTTGCTTTGCGTGCCTATACTGTGTATAAAAGCATGCAACGAATATGAACATATGATTACACACTGATGGCACACATATTGAGCACGGTGCTCATTCCACATGAAGACTCAAATCGGAACACAATTTGGATTCAGTCGCTGGAACCTGATATACATATAAAGACGAACATGTTGAACTTAATGATTAACCACGGAACACACTATTGATTCAGACAAGCTGGTACATTATATATATATTTATATATATTTATATATATATACATAGACGAAGATGTAGAATTTAAGGATTCAACACACGGAACACACACTTTTAATTGAGCGCTCCTCATATATGATGTTGAACTGGTACATGATATATATACATAGAACTTAAGGATTCAACACGGAATATACACTTTTGATTCTATCGCCGTTGGAAACTGATTTATATACAGACGATCATGTTGAATTTAATGATTCAACACGGAATACACATTTGATTCAGACACGATGGTACATGATATATATAGAGGATGATTAATTTAGGGATTCAGCACGGAATATACACTTTTGATTTAGATGCTGCAATCTAACTTATATGGACGAACATATAGGATTTAAAACACACGCATTTTTGGATTCATAAGCTGGAACACAAAAATGTATTTAGACGAATTGATATATATAGAAGTACATATATAGTGCCCACTAAACACACACTACATATATAATAAGCGTTACAATTATGCAAATTGATTGATTGATTGTTACTTGAACTGAAATTTAAACTCTAAAACGACAAACATTTGATTAATTTGTAGCACTAACTACAACACACTTGAATTTGTTACGCTGCGATTTCAACTTCACACATAATAAAATGTAATAATACACAAAATAAAATGTCAAATACACACAGAAATAATTTAAGTGTATTTATTAATTAGACTCTTCCATAGGCTAATGCAAAAGTTGATAGCTAAAACCAAATATCTAGCTAGTATATATGTAAGTGAAGTTTTTACTGCGAATTCTATTAAATTTGGAGAAGCAAAATCGATTTTTATTTAATTTTTTTATTTTTTACTTTGCTCCATTTTGATGTTCTGTCTTAGATTTTTAGTATGCTATATTATGATGTGCTCTGCATTCGCTTTTACTTTAACTTTAACCACATTCTGGTCTAGAGGACACTTGGATAAGAAGTCTCATGGTAGCGAAATATATGGAATATATATAACTAAAACCTCTTTGTAACATTTCTTACTCTTTTATTAAACAAAGCCAAATGTTTTGTGCCGAATAAAGCTATATTTATGTTGCATTTGTTTAACAAATATATTTTTTAAGATAAACATAGGCCTCTAATTATATGAGCTTTATATAGATATGATTTTTTATCTTGTTTTTTATTAAGTGTATATATATATGTATATGTCAAGTTATCAGCAAAAAAAAAAAAAAAATAATAATTATACTAAATAAATGATACTAAGATCTGACGTGGCCGAAGTTAATATGAACTAAGCAGGCGAGCATTTTTCTTTCAAGTTTTACAGATCTGACGTGGCCGACTAAATAAATAAATTTTACTAAATTATTATTATTTTCATTTCGTTTTTTATATATTTCTTAAATTATAAATTTAAAAGACAACACTTTTGTATACCGTAAATTAATTGAAAATAAGTGTGTTTCATATAATTTAATAAATAAATATATATTTTTATGTGTCCTAATATTTTTCTACAAATGAAATTTCTACTAAGATGAGTTAAATTTGTTTTTGACACGGGAAAATAAAATAGGAAAATATCCTCAATATATGTATAATGTTATATCATAAACTATACCATATTTAACCTGCATTTTTACGAAAAATTACTAAATTATGGAGTGTTGTATAAGCTGCTCGATTCTTAGTCCATTTAGGCATCTGTGTCTAGAAATGCTGAGGTAATGAAAAAATTGACAGTAAATGGATTCTTGCGGAGAGCACAGCCCGCCGAGCCACGGTGCTTCAGTCAAGAAAGAGTTTAGACCTAATTGTAATTACATTTTTTAGTACTTTATAAACTGTATATATACATTTTCTATATGCATATGTAGTCATATATTAGACGCTGAAATTCATGTCCCAGTTTGTATTTATTTAGGGTAAAGCAAGTATGAGTGCTTTAGACGAGGCTGCTCAACCAGGAGATGCCCTAAGCCCTGCATTGAGCTGATATTCCAATCGTGCTACGCCTTTAAAAAGGCCCTATATTGAAATAACATTTCCACTGGGTTCGGATATAACAAGATGGTATTCAAGCTTCGATATCAGAAAACCTCTCCATCGATTGTTGAGCAGACCTCGCATATTTTATGGATACGAAGATTTCTCATAGTGCTCCTGGTTTTTCAGCTTGACTAAGAGCCACCAAAGATTACTGCATAGAGTCTCTGAGTCTCTTCTTCATGTGTCTATATTAAATTATAGAATAAATAAAATACCATTGCAATTTGTTTTTAAAATAATTATTTTATATTTATTATGTCAAAAAAATTAGCATTTGCATTCGCATTTGCATTTTGCATGTTTCGTTCGCTGGACAACAAAAAATTGTACAATTTACACATTAAGATTAAGAAATAATAGCGCAGCAAAACTAGAAAAAAAAATTAAAAAAAAAAAAAACATAAAATAAAATAAATTTAATACAGATGAAAATGTGATTGGAGTTGAGTTGACAGAAACAAAACATTAAAAAAAAATTTTAATTGTGGCATATTTTTGAAAAATATTTCAATATTTCACTCGCTGCTCGTTAAAGTTTTCATTTCATTTAATTCTTTATTATAATTTTTTGTTTACCTAAACTCTAAAAATATAAAAAAAAAACTTGGCGCATTTTATAGTTTATCAGATATATATATATAAACTATACATATATATCTAAATATAGTTTGTTTAGGCGAAAATGTTGTAATTTGTTGCGTCGTCAACTTAATTGAAACAATTATGAGAATCTTTTTACAATTTAAACTTAAGATTAGGATTTATATGTAGCATTACATAGAAAATGTGTGTGTGTGTGTGTTGATTATCAAAAAATGTAGATATATATATATTTATATATATATATATAGATAAATGTATGATATAGGCTTTGCAGAATGTTTCGTTCGTATTGTTGTCTATATATAGCTAACAATCTTGTTTTGATATAAGCACTTCAGTTGCAAAAAGTTTTCCTTTTTTTTTTAAACTTAATAATTAAACGTAGTCGATGCTAATAACTATTAAACTATTCATTATTTTATGTCTTTTTTTTTATCGTATTTTCGTTTGTTTTTCTCTTTCGTTCTCAATGCTTAAAAGCGTTTGCCGCTTATACAAATACAATTACAAAATACAAAATACAATTTAATGCATAAAAAATAATTTGCGCTAATTTAAATTGTTTACTGGAAGCAGCGACGTTTGCAAATAAATATTATCAAGATGTATATCTATATATATATTTATATATTTGTATATATAATAAATTTTAACTTGGATTCTATTACGACTTTAGTTGACAAAAAAAAATTTGATTAATAAAACTTTTGCAAACTTGGCTTAAATGCTAAAATATCTAAATAATATGTATTTATATATATGTATCAATGTATATCCCATATGTGCACACACATATAGATACATATATATGCATTCAATGATTTCAACGCGCACTGTACAACAAACATTAAAATTAAACATTTAAATTACTACAATAATAATTATGATTTTTTTTGTTTTCGTTTCATTTCTGATTTTAAATTAAAGCTTAGTTTCTAAGTAAAAAAAAAAAAAATTGTTCATAGAATTAAAGGTGAGGAGCAGGTGCTCGCGTTGCGGGTTAGGTTGAATAGTCCAAAAGGTCTTCGGCCCCGCTGGCTGCTGCTGGCTGCCACACGAGTTCTGGGCCCCTTCCCGTTGCCTGGCGCACTTTGAGTGGCCACGCCCACGTCCGCCTTTGCCTTCTAGGTGCGCTTATGTCAAATGTAAATGGCCTCGGAGCCCTTGTTGGCCTGATGGCCGCCAGAGATGTACAAATTGTTGGCCGCCGGCGACTGCACGCCCTCGGACCAATCCGAATTGCTGCGCGGCGATGAGGACGACCAATGGCCGGGGGATTCGGGCGACGGTGTCGGATAGCTGTCCAGCGTCTGCACCAGATGCTGCGGCGTATGGCCGCCCGAATGCTGGCTCGGCGGCGTTAGGTACTGATAGAAGGCCTGATTGTGCTGCGACGAGGGCGACAACATGTTGGTCGACGGCGATGAGCCCGACATTGAACTTTGTATCGAAGGCGGATTCATTTGACCCGAGTGAAATGAGTCTGATGGGGAGAGAGAGAGAGATTGATATTGAGTTATGCAATTTTCGGGGAGAGCTGGCATAGGGTTGCACACTTACCCGGAGATCCACAAAATCCATTCAAGTCCAAACCGGCTGAACCGAACTCAAGGCCTCCAAGAGCTTGTTGCTGTTGTTGCTGCTGTTGCTGTTGTTGCTGCTGCTGTTGCTGCTGCTGCTGTTGCTGCTGCTGTTGCTGCTGTTGTTGCTGCTGCTGCTGCTGCTGCTGCTGTTGTTGCTGCTGCTGCTGTTGTTGCTGCTGCTGCTGCTGTTGCTGCTGCTGCTGCATTTGCGGGGACAACGTTTGCATTATTGCACTGCTTTTAGCATTGTTGGAGGACTGAGGCGCCAGCATGATGCCCATATCGCTGCCCGTTGGCGAAATGATGCCCAGACTGACGGGCGAGCCGTTGCCATTGCCGCCACCGAGCAGGCTGTTCAGATTGCTGCCGAACTGCTTCTGCTGCGTGGCATGCCGCATCGCCTGTATGTGCGTGGGCGATGTGGGCAAACTGGGCCGCGACTTGGCCGGCGAGGGAGAGCCTACAGCAGTAGAAGAAGAGTCAGTACCCAGTTGCTCCATCCATCCATTAACGTCTGTCCACTTACCCAGATAGGCGTGCGGCGATAGAGCCAGACTGCTCTGCACCGAGTGCGGCGGCGATTGGTTCGAATAGGGCGGACTGAGACCCTGCTCGTGGCCACCGTTGGGCACCCCATTGCCCAGGCCGCAGAGGGTGTTCGTGCTGCGTCCGCCGCTCAGACCCAGCGCCTGGCTATTCAGCATCTCCTGCTGAAATGGCGAGCCCATCGAATACCCGTACGTGTCCAACTTGATCATGTCCAGGCTGTTCGCTGGCAGCGACTGCATCGACTGGGCGTTCTGTAAAAGAGAAAAGGGCAAACATTAAATCTCAATAGGACTTGACGTTCTCTTTAATAACTTTTGCTTTACTTGTTCGATTTAAATGAAACGTTCGGCATATTATCTAGATACTCTATTTTATATTTGACATTTTAGATAAAATGAAAACTCCTGCATATATGGGGGATATGTGTAACTGTACTTCAATTCATAGAAAAACTGGATGGGATCGGCACTAGCTGATGGACAGACTAGGCTAGAACAGCTCAGCTTGTCGTCCTATATCACATTTTTTTATCATATATTCAAAAAGACACAAATTTAACAAAGAAATTCTGTAGCTCTTTTAGGTTCCCGAGGTCGATGCTTCCATACATATAGATAGACGAACAGCTTGGGCAGGTAAAGAGACAAGAGTACATATACGTCTGCCATGCCTTCCTTTCACTAGCTCTAGTTATAGCTCACTAAGTTCTTATGATCGAAACGTTAATCCAGACGGATAGATAAATAGATTCGGTTCGCTGTCCTGAGCAAGGCTTCATGGGATTTCGAAAGTTTAGACAGACGGACATGGCTTGATCAACTCAGCTCGTCATCCTAATCAAAAAATTCAAAGAGAAATTGCCTTAGCTCTAATAATTTCTGAGATCGCAATACGGACGAATAGACAGACAGACGGACGGTCGACTAAATGGGCTTAGCTGGGAGCTCTGAGCAAGTGTACATTTAGTTTATGGGGTCAGGCAAGCTTCCTTTTCCCTAGCTGTACTTGAGTCTAAGATTGGCATACGGACGGACGGACGGACATGGCTGGAGTTGTTCCCCTGTTCGTCGGCTTGATCAAGAGAGTCCGTATGCACCCTAACACGGTTTCTTCTGCCTGAACCTAATCAGGATTTTCTTTCTTCCCATGGCTCCTTCCCATGGCTCAGTCCGCTCAACTCACCTTGATGCAGTCCTCATAGCTCGGCGGTTGCTTGGCGCCGTTGTTGCCGTTGTTGGGCGGCGCTGCCATGGCATTCGAGTACATGGAGCTGGTGTCGTACGGACTGGGCAGATTCACCAGCTGCCCGTTGACGTTGATGTTGCCGTTGGCTGTGGCTGCTGCTGCCGCTGCCGCTGCTGCTGCTGCTGCCGCCGCTGCTGCTGCTGCCGTCACCGACGAGTCCAGGTCTGTGCAATTGTTGTTGTTGTTGTTGGCCGCCTGTGTCAGCAGCTGGGCGGCATTCAGGGCACCGTTCATGGCCTTTTTTGAGGCAGCACTGTTGCCATTGTTGCCATTGTTGTTGTTGTTGTTGTTGGCCTTTTTTGAGCTCGCCTTGCGTCGCAGACTGCCCATGTTGTTGGCCACGGCCCCAGTGGCAGCGCCCGCTGACGCATCCAGCACACTGTCGGCGCCATTGCCCTCGATCAGCTTGGCCTTCTTGGCCGCCTTCTGCTTGGCCGCCTGGCTGCTCTGTTTGCCGGCCGCGCCGCCGGCGGCGATCACCGTCGGCTGTGTGATCAGCTGCGGCTGCTGGCCCGGCGGCGGTGAGCCGATCATCGCTTGGGGCGTCATGCTGATCATCTGGGGCGAGCGTGGCACATGCTCGTCGAGCAGCCGGACAATGTCGTGGTGCAGCCGCTCGCTGGCCACGTCGCGGGGCAGGCGATCCATGTGATCGGTGATCTCGCGATTGGCGAAATTGTCGAGCAGCGCCTTGCAGGCCTCGTAGCTGCCCTCGCGGGCGGCCAGGAACAGCGGCGTCTCGTCCTTGTCATCCTGGGCATCCCGATTGGCGTGATGCATCAGCAGTATGTTGACCGCCTCCGTATTGTTAACAGCGGCGGCCCAGTGCAGCGCCGTCTTGCCCGAATTATCCGCCGCATTGATGTCCGCATCGGCCGTAATCAGATCCTCGACCATGCCCTCGATGGCCAGCCGTGCGGCCAGGATCAGCGGTGTCGTCCCATCATGCATGCGTGCATTCAAATTGGTCGCCCGATTGCGCAACAGAATCTGGAAGACGCCCATCGCATCTGCCGCAACGGCCGCATGCAACGGCGTCCGGCCTGTATTATCCTGGCAATTGGCATCGGCTCCGGCGTCGAGCAGCCGCTTGGCCGCATCCGCGCGCGCATAGCGTGCGGCCAGATGCAGCGACGTCTCGCCCGTCTTGTCCATGGTGGCGTTCAGCTCGGCGCCCTGCGCCAACAGGTCAGAGATCACCTGGGCGGTGCTGTCCTCGTTGTTCTCGATATCCTCGCCGCTGTCCATGCCGCCGCCGCGCACCGCCGCTATCATCAGCGGCGTCAGGCCGCACGGGCCGCGTGCATCGACGTCGTGCTTGCTGCCATCCTGATGCGCCGGCGGCGTCATAATCGCCCGCACATCCGCCACATCCAGATGCGCCTGCGACCAGACACGCGGATCGGGATCCTCGTACTCGCTGGTCATCGTATGATCGCTGGCATAGCCCACGCTGGTCAGGCCCGCCACACTGCCGCCGCCCAGGCCGCCCAAACCGCCGAGACCGCCCAGTCCGCCGCTGTTCATCTGATCGCCGCGCTGCCGCTTCGGCTGCGGCATATCCGACTCGTCGTCCGACCAGTGGCTGCCACCACCGGCAACGCCGCCCAGCTGATGGGCCTGGGCCTGGTTGAGGCCGCCGACCTGTTTGTTCAGATTCCGCATCTCCTGGCCGTGGGGATCGCGTCGGCGTCGGGACATGACCGCTGCGGCCGGCGCCCGGAAGCCCTCCGGGAACCAGGTGACGCCATGCGCCCGCTTCCGCTGGGTGCCCAGCAGCATGCCGAAGAAGGCCAGCACAATCACCACCAGGACAATGCCCATGATGACGAACTTGACATTGGCCGGCGATTCGGGTCCCTCGCTCTCGCCCGGACTCTTCACGCCGCGCACACTGTAGATCGGATAGCGATTGTTGAACGTATGCTTTGCGGCATAGGCGCCCAGGAATTCGGCCGCTTCGTGTGCCCGATTGAAGCACTCCGTGCACTTGCGATTGTCGATCTCCAGATAGATCTGGATGCCCGTCTGGCCGTTGCGTTGGGTGTACAGGATCTTGTGCTTTCTGCCAAATTCCGTGTCCTGTATGTCCGGCATGCTGGAGGCGCCCTTCCAGCTGAATATCATGTCGTTGCCCAGGGCGTCCTTCTTCACGCGCACCGTCGTCCGCAGGATGTGGCTCATCTCGCGCAGGAATTGCGCCTGCTCCTTGGCAAACTGTTGCATATCCATCAGCATGATCACGGACATGGCGCCCTCCGCCAGCTGCGCCGACTGCTCCGACTTCTCACAGTCCAGCCCATCCCAGCTGCACTCGGCATTGTTACAGCCGTAATCGCACTTGCCGTCCCCGTAGTGCTTCTGGCAGTAGACATCGTAGATGGCCGCACAGCGCTTCAGCTTCTGCTCACAGTCGCGTCCGTCGTAGAGGCAGGCGGCATTGTTGCACTCCTCGTTGCACTGGCCGTCCATGAAGACGCGCCAGCACTCCGGCGCCGTGCAGTTCGCCCACGGATTGATGCCCAGCGAGCAGTCGTTGCCATCGAAATTGCAGGCGTACGTATTGCATTCGGTGTCGCAGACGCCGTTGCTCTGCTTCTCCGGACATCCGCGCTTCTCGCACATCGCCCGCTGCTGCTCCAGATCGGCCGCATAGATGCCGGCGGCGCCGTTGCCGCCGCTGCCGGAGCTAATCGAGCCGGAGCTGCCGCCCGACCAGCCCGCATAGCTGGCATCGTAGATCTCGCACCGTTTGCCCGTCCACTTGCTCGGACAGAGGCAGTCGTAGTCGCCCAGCAGATTGTCACAGGCGGCGCCCTGCAGGCACGGATTCGACTGGCACTCGTCGAGCGTATCGATCTCGCAGTGCTGGCCCGCCGTGCCCCGGCTGCACTCGCAGCGATAGCCGCCGGAGTCCTCGATGATGCAGGTGCCGGCCCGGCACGGATTCGAGTCGCAGTCCTGTCCGCTAAACTCACAGTTCTTGCCATAGTAGCCGTCGGCGCAGACGCAGTGGTGTCCACTCTGCTTGGTGCTGCAGACGCCGCCATTTTGGCACGGCGACTGCGCACAGAAGTTGACCTTGTGCTCGCAGTGGCGGCCCATGTGGCCGGGCCGGCAATTGCAATGATAGTTGTTCACCAGCTGTACACAGTCCAGGGTGCCGGCATTGGAGCACGGATTGCTCAGGCACTCATTGATGTCGCCCTCGCAGCGTGCGCCCACAAAGCCCGGCGGACAGGAGCACTCGAAGCCGCCGACCCGATCGATGCAGCTGCCATTGTTGTGGCAAGCGCCGGGCACACAATCGTCCTGATTCAGCTCACAGATGATGCCCAGCGTGCCGGGCGGACAGCTGCAGCTGAACCCGTGCACCAGGTCGTGACAGGTGCCGCCATTCTGGCACGGATTCGGCGCACAATCATCGATGTTCAGCTCACAGTTCTGGCCCTGAAAGCCCTGACGGCAATTGCATTCGTAAGCTCCGACCAGATCCCGGCAGGTGCCTCCGTTCTGGCAGGGCTGCGAGGCGCACTCGTCAATGTCCTGCTGGCAGTAGCTGCCCGCATAGCCCTGGTTGCAGTAGCAGACGTGACTGTTGCCATGATTCTTGCAGGTGCCGTTGTTGCACAGCTGCTTCACGCTCAGCCCCTTCCGCTGGGCCGCGTCCTGGCAGCTGATCATCTGCACATCGCAGAGCTTGCCCGTCCAGCCGGCGGCGCATTTGCAGTTGAACTGATGCTTCAGCTGGCTGCAGCTGGCGCCGTTCTCGCACGGCGACTGGGCGCACCAGTCGACATAGTCGGAGCACTGTTTCCCCGTAAACCCGCTCGGACAGTGGCAGGTGTATTCGTCCCGCTGCTCGTGACAGGTGCCGCCATTCAGGCAGGGCGCCGAGTCGCATTTGTTCAGCTTGTATTGACAGTTCGCTCCGCTGTAGTCCGGCAGGCAGCTGCAGTTGTAGCCATTGATGCCATCCACACAGCTGCCGCCGTTCAGGCACGAGCTCTCCGTGCAGTCCTCGTCGTTCGTCTGGCAGTTGATGCCGCTGAAGCCCAGCGGGCAGGTGCACGTATAGCTGTTCACGTACTGCCGACAGGTGGCGCCATTCTGGCAGGGCATGCTCAGGCACTCATTGATGTCCGTCTCGCAGTGCTTCCCATCGAAGCCGTCCACACAGAGGCACGAGTAGTCACCGATGCCGTCCAGACAGGTTCCGCCATTCTGGCACGGAAACGAGGCACAATCATCCGTATTGATCGCACAGTCCCGGCCCTCATAGCCCTTGGTGCACAAACAGCGATACGAGCCGGGCACATTCAAGCAGCTCGCTCCATTCCGGCACGGCGAACTGAACGCGCACTCATCAATGTCCTCATCACAGTAGCGGCCCGTATAGCCCAGCTTGCAGGTGCAGGAGAAGTCCAGGAAGTTCGGACTGGGCGTGCACTTGGCCTCGTTCCGGCAGCGATTGCTCGCACACGGATCCAGCTGGCTCTCACAGTTCAGGCCGGTGTAGGGCACCTTGCAGACGCACTTGTAGCCGTTGACCTTGTCGATGCAGGTGCCGCCGTTGGCGCACGGATTGCTCAGGCAGTCGTCGATGTTCGTCTCGCACTTGTGACCCGTATAGCCGGGCATGCACTGGCAGCTGAACGCGTTCAGCTTGTCGAAGCAGCTGCCGCCGTGCTGGCACGGATTGCTCGCACACTCATCGATATCCTGTTCGCAGCGTTTGCCCGTATAGCCTGGCGGACAGTGGCAGATGAACTCGTTAATGCCATCCTCACATCGGCCGTCATTCACACACGGACTGGACGCACACTCATCCACGTCGCTCAGGCAGCGCGCATCGTAGAAGCCGCGCGGACACTCGCACTTGTAGCCATTGACCAGGTCCATGCAGACGCCATTGTTGGCACACGGATTGCTGGCGCACTCGTCCACATTCAGCTCGCAGTGCTGGCCGGTGAAGCCGGGCACACAGCTGCAGCTGTACGAGTTGATGCCGTCGATGCAGCTGGCGCCGTTGTTGCACGGATTGCTGTGGCACTCGTTCACATTGATCTCGCAGTTCTTGCCGCTGGTGCCGGGCAGACAGTGGCACAGATAGCTGCCCACACGGTCCACGCAGTGGCCGCCGAATTGGCACGGATTCGATTCGCATTCGTTGATCTGTTTCTGGCAGAGGTAGCCGGTAAAGCCGGGATCGCACAAGCACTTGAAGCTATTGTCGCCATCGATGCACTTGCCCCGGTGGCAGGGACTCGAGTCGCAGTCGTTGATGTTGATCTCGCAGCTGGTGCCCGTGTAGCCCGGCGGACACTCGCAGCTGTAGCCGGCGATGATGTCGTGACAGATGCCATTGTTCCGGCACGGCTGCGACTGGCAGTCGTCGATGTTGATCTGACAGCGTGCGCCCGTAAAGCCCAGCGCACAGCTGCACTTGAACCCGTTGATCTTGTCGTGGCAGATGCCGTCATTCAGGCACGGACTCGACTGGCACTCATCGATATCGATCTCGCACTGGGTGCCCGTGAAGCCGGGCATGCACACGCAACGGAACGTGCCCGGATCGTCCAGGCAGCTGCCCTCGTTCTGGCACGGATGCGATTCGCACTCGTTGATGTTCGTCTCGCAGCGCGGTCCGGTGAATCCCTGCGAGCAGTTGCACATGAACGAGCCCGGCGTATTCACACAGATGCCGTTGTGTTCGCACGGCGATCCCTGGTCACACTCATCAATGTCCTCGGAACAGTCGACGCCCTTGTAGCCCGTCGCACAGGAGCACGCATAGGAGCCGTTGATCGGACTCGTGTCGCAGATGGCATCGGCATGACACGGATTCGAGGTGCACGCATCGTCCAGGTGGCACAACAGACCCGTCTTGCCCGGCGTGCAGCGACAATAGAAGCTGCCCACGCCATCGATGCAGGTGGCGCCATCAAAGCACGCCGCCTGCACGCAATCATCGATGTTCTCGCTGCAATCGCTGCCCGCCCAGCCGTTCACACAGATGCAGCTGTAGGTGCCGTGGGTGTTCGTACAGGTGGCTCCATTCTGGCAGACGGACGGACGCAACGCGCACTCATCCACATCCACGTCACAGTACCGACCCGTAAAGTTCGGCGGACAATTGCAGCGATAGTCGTTGATGCCGTCCACACAGGTGCCGCCGTTCTGGCACAGATTTCCCGGACAATCATCGATGTTCTGATCACAGTTCTTGCCCTCGAATCCTGCAAATGAAGAGAATGCGTATTGTGAATTAGTTTCGATCAATGATGAATACGGTAGAGACATAAGGACTAAAGTACTAAGAGATCGCTCCTAAATATACGGATCCCAAGCAGTTTGAATCGAATTTGTATATCTAGGGTATACTAGGAATATACATAGACGTACATTCATGCCTTCATACATTCACAAAATCATAAATTTGTAATAAAAAAAACCCAAATATCTTTACTGTACAGTGAAAACGATTTTATTGGGGCTAGCTAGTAATTATGGCCAGAGAGAAAAGTGCATAAAACGAATACAATACACAGCTGAAAATAAAAAACAAAAGCAAAAATAACAACAAAATCAATCATAAATCTTCTAAATTGTTTTTGAATTTGATTTGAACAACGAAAATACCAAGACTTTGATTGGCTCGCTAAACGGTCACACTGCAAGCGAACATGTGTACAGATATCTATGTGCGTTTGCAAGTGTGTGCATACGAATGTGAGTGAATGTATGCATGTGTATGTACGGCTGGTATTTGTGTATGTGTTCAATGAAGTGCATAAACAGATTTATGGACAACAACACAGCAGCATCATAAAATGCTTCAATAAACGAAAACGTTTACAACAACAACAACAAAAGCAACTGGCCAGGGCATGAACAAAAAGTGGTTGCCAGGCAATGCGAAGAAGGCGCACAAAGCGCAGACAACGCTTAAAATATGTCCATACGTCTATCTGTATGTATGTATGTACATAATGTATGTATGTATGTATTTGTTCGGCGGCGTATGCAGCTGTGTTGCACATGTTTTAGCAGCCAGATGGAGTCGCAGCAAGAATGAGGGAGGGTGCCGGAGCGATGAGAGTGCTGAGAGCAGACACAGGTAAGTCGAGAACAAGAGCCGGCGCTCTGTCGCTCTCTCAAGCTGCTCAGTTCGCTCTCGCGCTGTACGGCTGCGCACGCTCTCTGCTACGTTGCGCCTGCGGCATTATATATACATACATACATACACACACACCACAGTCATGCAAACATACATACATACTAAAAGACAGCAACAACAAACAACCACAACAGCCCAACGAAAGAAAAAACTGCGCGCCGCTGCGCATGCGAAGCGAATGAGCAAACAAAATGTAAAGAAATAAAACAGACGCTCGCATGCGCATACACACATACATGTATGTACGTATGTGTGCCTATGTTTGTGTGTGTGTGTGTGTATATGTGTACAACACGTCTTTGGTTGTTCTTTCCCACGGTCTCATATCTGGCCAGGCAGCTATCTGAATGCGCGCCAAGCAAACGAGCGCAACGAGCGTCGTCCACGAGCGCGCTCGTTCATTCGCTCGCTAGCTCGCTTCCCCATCCACATACACAAACAGAACCAACAACAACAATGTATGAATGCTGCTTATGTTGTGCGCTAGCTTTGTCTACAGCCATAGCCTCGGCTCTCGTTTGGGCAGTCGGCACTCGGCACGCCTCGTCGCTCGGCTCGATCGAGTTTTCTACTACTTTTATGCTGTGTGCGTGTGTGTGTGTATGTTTTGCTACGCTTCGGACTTCGACTTTGTACATTGCGCTTTACTTTGTGCTTCATTCGAGGAATTAAATCGCACTTTATGTTGTTCCTCCCCTCACACCCGCTGCGAGACCGTACATGCTCTCTCTCGCTCTCTGTCTGCCCAGTGTATGTACATACATACATATATGTATGGGCTTGTTCATGTTCGTTTGTGTGTGCATGCAATGGAAGCTTCGCGCGCTCTTTGCGGCTCTCGGCTGCTCGCCCACAGCTTTTTTTAATGGCTTTTCTTGCTTGGTCGGTTTCGCTTCGTTTTGGTCTTAAAAGAAGGGCCCAAAACACACACACACACACACACACACACACACACACACACACAGAAGTAACTATGACTTGGGGCTGGCTGTCCCAGCCCAGTTGTTGTCATAGCTTGTTGTTGTTTTTGCTGCTGCCGCTGGGCTGATCGATTTTGTTGTTGCTGTGCACAACTCATTTTTTTCTCTTCATCTTTTTTTGTGGGCATTTTTTCTTTATTATTATTATGATTATGTGTGTGTGTATGTATTTAGTTGGGGGACTGCAACTTGTTGCCTGGGCCTGGGATGGAGACTGGAGAGTGGCATTTTCAATGCATACTTTTAAAAATAAACCAAGGCAGGGCAGCAGCAGCAGCAGCAATAACAACAATAACAACAACATGCATCTGCTGATCTGTTGCACACATGTTTCATGTTCGCGCTTCACGCCACACACAACACAACAATCGACGTTACCCAGTCACTTAGTGGCACTTTGAACTCTAGACATCAGCAACAACTGCAGCAGCAGCAACAGCAGCAGTAGCAGCAGCTGCTGCTCCAGTGACTATCAAACCACAAGCAAATTTAATGAAACGTTGCAAACTGAAAGACAAACTGCACGCTAAAATTATGCAGCCCACCCTCTCATTTGCAGTGGCAGTATGTGTCTATGCGTGTGTATGTGTGTGTTTGTGTTTGTGTATGTGTAGCCATTTAAGTCAATTGGCTGCAACAATTTGCATGAGTTGTTGGTCCGTTGGGTCAATCGACGACCTGTGACAAAAGCTAAAAGCCTGGCAACAATGTTGCCAAGCAATTAATGTAAACATAAAAGGTCTGTACCGAATTCCGCGCAATATTTAAATGTTGCCCATATTCATTTAGAAAGTTCATGTCATTAACATGGCTGGGAACAGCTGAAAATGGAACAGTTAGGATTTGACCTAACGGAAATTCGTTGTTGTTGTTTTTCTTTGTCTCTTTACTTATTATCCATATAAATCAATAATGTTGCCAAGTTAATAATTCATATTGACTTTAGAATGTCTGGAATCGAAACACATACGGAGACATAAACACTGCTGAGCATGAGCAGAGACTTAATGATTCTTATGCTTTTTGGGTACAGCTTCTGGCGAAGGAGATTGGTGGAAATTGGCAAGAGTAGATGGCAAGATTAGCTTAGGATTGGGATTGGCACTTGATAAGATCAGGAATCGAAATACAGTCAAAATCCAAAATTACAGCAGAGAGACACCTGGTAATGGAACATGTGCCGTTTAATTTAAAGCAAATTACTGAGTAGTTTTACCGTAATTAATTAACGCACATCAGTTGTATGTGGAACCCCTGACAATGGAACACATGCTTCTCGATTTCAAGCCATTTCTCAAAGGTATTTGCTACTTAGTTGATCTGGTGGTCATTTTATCATATGGCTTTGGTATGCCTATCGAAATTTACTGAAGAGTCGGGCAATAGAACATATTCTCTTAGATATTCAGAAATTTCTAACCTATATTATCTGTTTATTTTGGTCATTTGATCATTTGACTTTATCGCTCTTATCGAAGTCTACTGAAGATTTGCACATGATTTCGATGAGAAAATGCCTCTTTATGGCACAACTGCTTCTTGATCTCAAGGAATTTCAAATGGGCATTTGATCATAATCGATTAATGCAACGATTGTTATCGGCAAATTCATTTCTATGCAAGCTTCTTCTGAGTCATGACTCGCCACGAGCCAAATAGTGGCCCAGGTTTTTAAGCGCCGTTGCCTCTACCTCAGCCTCTACCGCTGCCTCTACCTCAGCCTCTACCGCTGTCGTTGCCATTGCTGCCCACGCGAAGTCAAACTCGTTTGCTAGCTGCTTGACTCGTAGCCAAGTGCCACCGATATTCCCCCACCAAATTGTCCATCCAGTTTATTATTCATCATTCATTCAGCTCGGGCAACTTTTACCCAAAAAAAAAAAAAAAAAAAAAAATTAAAGCACATCCCATTTGGGCAGCTCCTGCTCACGCTCCCTCTCTCTCTCTGTATCTCTCTCTCTCTCTTTCTGTTGCATTTTGTGCATGACCTCCTTAGGGCGTAACTGTGCTTAAGCAGCGCCGTCCAGCAGCTCTATCTATCCTCCATGGTCCATTGGCGTTGACTGAGCCGTGCCTGATTTATTTGTAATTTACTTGGCCTGAGCCAGAGCAAATTAAGCCAGGCGCTCGATTTTGATGCCTTTGACTGACTCGATGCGACGCGACTCAACTCGACTCGACTCAAATCGACTCGACTCGACTCGTTTCACGAGCCGCACGGAGGGCGCACTTGGGGTGGAGAAGGAGGAGGCGGCGGCCGTGGGCTGGGAACAAACAAGTTGCTAGCCAGCCCGATGTTTTTTTTTTTTGTTTTTTTCTCTTCCATTTTGCATAATGAGTGCAATGCGCCGCCCTCCGCTCCTTGCAGCAACAACAACAACAATAACTGCAACCACAAAATTCCCATTGGCATCTCCCGCGCTGCCTCAACGTGATGTCCACAGGGCGATTCGTGTCGTGTTGTTGTTGCTGTTGCTATTGCTCCTCTGACTGGTTTGCTATACTTTTGCTGCTGCTGCTGCTGTTGTTGTTGTTGTTGTTGTTGCTGTTGCAGTTGCTGTTGTAATTTGTGTTGCTCAACATTGGCACAAAAGGCGTTATAACATTTCCATTGCATTATTGCATTTTTCCTTCTTTTTTTAATGTCTGCAAATCGAAATTCTTTGAGGTTGTTGTTGCTGTTGTGGCTGTTGTTGTTGTTGTAGTGTGTGTTTTATTGTTGCAGTGTTTTGTCACACTTTCACACGCTCAGCTCATTAGAATTTTTGATTGGGCGCAATTAATATATATGTATATAGATATGTATAGGTATACATCTGTATATACATACAGATAAGTTTATAGAGGCCACTCCCACCATCCAGCGTCCACCGTCCGTCGTCCATTCGCACTACACTACACTACACTACAATGCAATTCATTTTAATTGAAGTGAATTAAATGAAAATTGCATACACACTCACACACACACACACACACACACACACTCATGCATGCATACATATGTACATACATATATCTAGAGACAAATGCCTTCATAAATATGTAAAATGTAAATGTTGCCAATTTACATGTCTAAATTGAATGCGCGACAATTGACTCAGTTTGCGAGTTGTGTGCGAAAAAAGAAACAACAACAACAACAACAACAGAAACAACAATTGTTGATTATTTGACATTCGGTTTAACCATTGACACTTGCTGTTAAAACGAATGCAATGAGCATAATATATGTATATAATCACATAAATACATGCATACATACATTTATATATATATCGATTAGTTTGTATGTATGCATATCGATAAGTATAGAATAGACAAAGCTGCATCTAAGAAACATGCTATGATACAAAACAAAACTTCGAAATTTTTGAATAATTTTTGCATTCGGAGTAATGGGAATCTCTTGAGATATTTCAAAAAAAAAAAAAAAAAAAAAGGTAAGCTTTCTATATAATACAACTTCGATATACATATGTATGTGTATGTACTCTTATACTAAATATATATTATATACATATACCATATTAGATTATATATATTATCAATCAAAAAAGTTCTATAGGATATACAGGATTATGAGTATAATGATATATAATGATATTATAATAATATATATATATATTATTACATATTGTTATACCTAGTAAATATACAGGATTATGAGTATAATGATATACAATGATAATAATATAATAATATGTACATATATATTATTACGCTTTGATATATCCCATGGAACTGTTTATTGGGTTTCTTAATTGAGCTGTGATATGATAATAAATGATCTGATGTGTATCATATGATTATTTAATCATATCGCAATAATTTAATGATTAAGTTGTTTCTAGTCTTATCAAACAACTCTTTCATATAACTAGCTTTGACATTACTCAAATTTTGGGCCTATACTTAAAGATCTTTGATAATAATCTAATCTAATCAAATACTAAATAGCTCTAGTGCATATCGATAGGCAAATGGAACTATATTGATACGCCTTCTAATGCTGCTCAAGATCTGTCTTTTAACTATTTTTCGTAGGCAAATAATTCGTAAGCCATCAATTTGATTATAATTGGTAATATTATTTATTAATATTGTATTATAACTGTCACTAAATATATATTATCTATATATTATTATTATTATTATTTTTATTTTCATTATTGCTATTATATTATATATTGTCTACATATTATTATTATTATTATCATCACTATTCTCATTATTGTTTATTGAAATGTTGCACTTACCACGTGGACATTTGCAATCGTAGGTGAGTCCATTGGCGCGACATGTGCCGCCATTCTGGCACGGCGATGGTGAGCAGGGTTTGTATTTGGTGTCGCAGTCCTTGCCCGTGTAGCCAGCCGGGCACATGCATCTGGAAAGTGGCAAGAAGCAGAGGAGTAGACATGTTAGAAATGTTAGATTAATGGACCGATGGCAGCAATTAACGCCGGGCTGCTGCATGGCCTTTCAAAGTTCTTCGTGGCTACGCTGCAACTTGCAACGTGCAGCGTGCAACGTGAAACGTGCAACTTCCGTTTGTGTCTCTTCGGCTTGTGTTGTATTGTGGACATGGCATGCGCCTCGTCCAGCTGCTGCTCGACAAATGCTCTCGCTCGCTAGCTCACTCTCTCTCTCTCTCTCGCTCTCACACTTCTCTCACTTCTCTCTCTTTGTTATTTGTTGCAAGATCTTGCTCTCTGTGTGTGCATCTCCCTCTGTCTCTATATCTCCCTCTCTCTCTCTCTCTCTCTCACTGCTGTGCGCTCTCTTCGCACGGCTTTAACCGGTTCTTTGGGGCTGGGTACACACAGGGCCAAGACAACAATAAAAAGCCAATATGTACAACAATGTTGGTAGCTAGTTTGTATGTACATAAAATCTGTTTCTCTTCCTCTTCTCTAGTTTACTTTACTTTACTTTATTTTTTACGATTTCTTGTAATGTTTCTTGAGCTCGCACTATATCCACATTGATCTTTTTGGGCCTAATTCGTAAAATTGTTTATGCTATATATTATATACATATATATAGAAATGATTTTGAACTGCAGCATTTCTTGAGAACTGGTTCTACTTGTGGCACCGTAAAAGGTAGCCCGACCCCACCCCAGCTCCCCCTCCCCACTTTTTTTTTTTTTTTTTTGTTCTCTGGCTTCTGAAGATGGCCGCTAATTAAGGCTATTAAGCGCATTTAATTAAATTAAACAATTAAAAGGCACAAACGCTCAAATAGGCAACGGGCCTCGAGTGCCGCGCTAACTCTTTGGGGACCTGTCCAACTGGCCAATGAACCAGACAGTACCCGCTACCCTCTCTCCGACTCCCGACTCCCGACTCTTTGGCCAAGCTTCCATTGTTGGGCACTACCCGACAATGCCCGTCCGTCTGTCTGTCCCTCCGCCTGTCCGTCCGTTCGTCCGTCCGTCCGTCCCTTTGACTGACCAAATTACACATCGTAAATTGCTTCACCTTCGCTTTGGGCAAAACTAACGAACGAACGAACGAAATTCAAAATTGATTTTTGATTGACATGTGAAACTCAGCGGGCCAATGGCCCAAGGCGTTGATGATGCTGAGGATCGCTGAATTGCTGGATCACCGAATCAGTCGCTGGCTATTCGCTTTCGGACCGTACTAAATGCGGCGAGACCCACCACAAAGATCGCTGGATCATTAACTCAATAGCGAGTGCACTCATAGTGTGAGTGATATCTCTCTCTCTCTCTCTCTCTCTCTCTCTCTCTCTCTTTGGCTAGCAAATGCAGAACTGGTAGCCTATTCCGAGTGTATTCATATGTATTCACATTCGTGAATAAATTTCGTTGTTATTTGATTGTTTTATGCTCTTTGAACTAACCATTACATATTCATGCATTCATGAATACACTCACTTGCTATTCATGAATACATTTACTTTTCGTTTTGAATATGCGAATTTTATCGAAATGATTTATTCAGTTTAAATATCTTAAAAAAATATTTAAAATTTTATATTCATTGAATTATTATTCATGAATACACTCACTTTCATTGGAGTATGCATATAAACACGCATAAACATCATAAATACTTTTCAATTTTCCATTTTTTTTTTTAATGTATTCAATTCAATTCATGAGTGCACTCACTTATGATTTATGAGTATTTTTACAGTCAAATAGCGACGTGAATATATGAATATATTGCCCACGCTCAACAAGAACACTCTTTTGACATTCATGAATACACTCATATGTCAAATAAATTACCGCTTCTGCCTGCCCATTGTGAATGATGAGCAGCTGTATCGAATGTTATTCACAGATTTGGCTTGTTTGCATTGCTAAATCCATTCAAACTGACAGCTTTAGGATATTATTAGATGGCTTATGGCCAAAATGTTTATACGTTCGTAATTGACTGGCTATTCATATTCATACGCTTAGGCATGACTAAGCTTGCGCCTGTATCATATATCGCTGTCCACTAAATTAACGATTTTATTTCGCTCTATAAAGAAATCGAAAATTATCATAACGCTCGATTCGAGCAATATAAACAATATAAAAACGGCAACTCAATGTGAATATTATGCGAAACGATCGATCGTGCGATTGGAACGGCTATCAACAGTGGCTGTCATTCAAGAATGGATTGAAGTGAGCTGTTGACAAAAAGGAATCCATAGGAAGCTTCTCGCTTAGCGAATGTGCACTGTGGCCGTCCATGAACCGAAAAGGCGCAATGTTTGCCTCCACAAATTGTCAATTAGTAATCGAGGTTTCGATTATGTCTTATGCTAATTATCGGCCAAAAGCTCCCATCATTAACTCATCATACAACAAATGGCAATACGGAAAAACACAGTGAAAACATATGTTCATGTCGCACTTTTCAGCTCGATTGAGTTTCTATATCAAGTTTCATACACTGTTTTCTTTGAAATAAGAGTGGTATATTAGTTTCGAGCGAATACTAAAACGAAGTAGAGAGAGAGAGAGAGAGAGAAGGAAGCCCAGAGAGGGGAGGCGATAAGAATGAAAAATTGAGGGTAAAGTGGGAGAGAGGACAAGAGAAAGAGAGAGAGAGAGAGAGAGAGAGAAAGGGCAATTGAGATATGAAATATAGACAGAGATTGGCAGATTGATTGAGAGAGATGGAGATATTGAGAAAAAGGCCAGAGAGTGTTAGAGATGGACGATACTGTGATAGAGGGTAGCTCATCTACTCGCTGTATAGAGCATTTAGAATTCGCCATTTGTCTCGAGACAAAAGATACCTGACTGCCTGCCTCCCCTGCCTGGGCCCGCCCCCCGACCAACCGCCTAAGCGTTCGTTTAGCTTTCGGTTAGGGTATCTCTCGAATTAAAAATGCAAATGCTGCCAATGAATTAATTTACATGTCGAACAGACCAGTTAAGCGCGCTGCGAAACAAAGCGCCGGAAATTTCGGTTAGTTGCGGCGTTTCCATTGACTCGACTTCTATGCAACATCTCTGTCAATGTTTCTATGTATATATGTGTGTGTGTGTGTGTGTGCCTGAGTCTGATTTAATTCAATAGTTTTTGTATATTTTAATTAGAGTGGAAACTTGGACCAATTGGCAATTTGTTGTTCAGTGTTTAGTTTAGCCCTCTCTCCCTCTCTCTCTCTCTCTCTATCTCTCTCCCACTCTTTTTGTTGCCAAAACTCAATAAACTATTTTAATCGCTTCAGCATGCTAATGAAGAAGGGGAAGAGTCAGAGTTGAATTCGATTTTATAAATTATTAGTTTTAAATTGTCATTAATTTGGCGCACAGCCACAAACGGCTTTTCGATAAATTAGATAAATATGCAAATGCGACGATTTGTTTTCTTTGATATACATCGAAATCCGCTTTATAACCATGCCCCATGTGCCCCCCAGCATCTCGCCTCCCTGGTCCACAATCGGAACGTGTCTGATCTTTTGTCGAACAAGCAACCAAATTTGCACTTGTCATGCGCTGAGTTATGAGCGAAATATATCAGTGACTGACTGAGCCGAAAGTGATGGTCCAACAGAGGTTTCTAGATCTGACTTAGCGAGAGATAGAGAGAGTGGGGAGAAAGAAGCAAAGTTGATTTACTTGAATTATTCTTCAATATATGTCAGTAAACCTAATCTAGATCAATCTTATTTCACATGATCATCATATAATCATACGATAAGGGAAAGATAGATAGATAGATAGAAATCGATTGTTCGGATAAAATATCCTTGAATGCAAGATCATTTACCAATCCAATCTAGACTAATCAAATCAATATGATTATTATTAGCATAAACTACAATAAGGAGAGGGAGGGAATATACGATCATCTAGTTTAGTAAAATAAACTCTGTTCATCTCAATGTAATGAGATCACTATGATCTCCATACTACAATAGAGATTAAGAGAGAGAGAGGGAATGCGAGGAGCCTTAGTTTCCTTGCTTGAACTATCCTTCAATGCAAGATCATCAGCTAATCTAATCAAAGTAATTCTACGATACATGAACAGCTAGATAGGTAGCATATAATCATAATGCAATCTGATCTCTATACTACAAAAGAGAGTGAGTGAGATATACGTAAGAGTATTTTCGGGAAAATACACGCTGTACGCCATAAATTACTTGGATCTAAGTAAAACTCTAACAATCCCTCGTTCGAGCTATGCTGGTTTAGCTGCTCGTTCATCTTAAAAAACTCCTTCCAAATATAACTGTTAAAGATAACATCCACTCCATTTATACCCCCCCTTTATAGATCACTTAACAAAAGTTCTGTATTTGGTTTACTTACTGATAGGAGCCATGCGTGTTGACACAGGTGCCGCCGTATTGGCAGGGATTCGATTGGCACTCCTCCACATCCTCGGAGCAGGTGTGACCCGTAAAGCCCGGCGGACAATTGCAGCTAAATCTGCTGCTGCCGGCCAAGGCGGAACAGGTGCCGCCGTTGCGACAGGGTGAACTAGCGCACAGATTCTGTGTCTGACAGTGATCGCCTAAAGAGACAAAGACAGAGAAGGAGAGAGTACAAGTGAGGGAGAGTGCAAGAGGAAGTTGTGTTAATGAGTTAGGATTAAGCAACTGATTGACTGCCGCTCGAGTGGATTCGAGGTGCCAACTTACCCGTATAGCCATTGGCACAGATGCAGCTGTACTCCTGCAACGTCTTCAGCTGGCAGGTGCCGCCATTGAAGCAGCGCGCCTGATCGCAGGCATTCGCCACTGCAATCTCGCATAGCGACTCCTCAAACCCGAGCGGACAGAGGCACGAGATGCCAGGCCGGCCATTCCGAAAGGCCACCTGACAGGTGCCGCCATTCTGGCAGCGTCCGTGGCCAGTGAGGCAGGGATTCCGATGTTCACAGTAGTCGCCAACGTAGCGTGTATCGCAACTGCAAAAGATGCAAGCAAATTGATGTAGATAAAGTAACTGTATATATAGATGTGTATGCATGTGTGTGTGTGTGTGTGTGTGTGTGTGTGTGCGCGCGCGATTGGCAATCTGCTGATGCATTCAAATATGCATCTAATGCACACACGTTTGATATAGTTTATAGAGCCGCTCTAGAGCGGACGCCGCTCGGCGGCAGATTTGCGTCCATCGATAAGCGTCCAAAGTGTTAAAGCAACTGACAAACTGACAAACTGACAAAGTTGCCTCATTTCCGCTAGCTGGACCACAAGCCGAAGCTAAGCCATTTACCAATTGCTTTCACAGTTTAGTTACACTGAGACCAAAATCTATGCACTTTATGTATGAATATATTTCCATTCATATTTGATTGAATTTCTTAAACAAGTTTTCGATTGACTTCGTTTGTCGAACTCAATCGAATTGCATTTATCGATTAATCACACATCGATAACGCGCTTATGAATGTAAATTGCAAACATCTAAGGGACATCGAAATTAATTCTATTCGATTAACTTTAATTCTGTCCTTAAATTGTATGGTTAGATGAAGTTTGAATTGAATAGATTTACAAGTTTTTTTCTGTTAATTAAATTTATGTAAATGTTAGCGAAAATTTGCCAAATATATTTGAGAATTCATGTAATATTGATCAATAATTGAAAGTTCACTTGAGGTTGTCAAACTCAATTAGTTAGCTTGCTTTACTTTAGCTTAAACTTTACTTTAGCAAACTCTGGGAAAATCTTGCACTACAAATAGGGCCTAAGATAACTCTAAATCAAGCTATCAACTCGCATTAGCGTATGTCTGCCTAATGTATCATAAATTGAACCCAGTATCGCTTAGGCTGGCCGAGAAAATACCCATACATACACACACAGCTGAGAGAGATGGCCAAATTAACTCTATCCAGCATGCATTCAGTGTCGTTCTATAGGAATTTGTCATAGCAATCAGCTTTTGTCCCGTGCATGCAGCCCTAAGCTTCTGTGCACACTCCAGACAAAAGCTGCTCGCTATGCGAAAATGACATAGAATGCTTAATGCATGCTTGACAAATGTTGGTCAAGCAAACAGCTGCAACATGAAACACAAACAAACAACAAGGCGCGTATTTAAGTATGCACAATATGAGCCGACTGACAACAACAACAACAACAACAACAACAACGACAACAGCAGCAGCAGCAACAACAACAACAGCAACGACAACAAATTAGCAAAGTAATTGCAGGCAACAAATGCAACAACGAGGCGCGCTTCGATTGCCAATGACGATGACGTTGATCATGATGATGATGATGATGATGATGATGATGATGTTGATGTGGATGTGGATGACGTGGCTGCTGCTGTTGCTGATGATGATTACGCCTGAAGTTGCAGCTAAAGTCGAACGACAACTTGCACATTGTTGTTTTCCCTTGAGAAAACTATTTTTTTTATGTACGGTAATTTGTGCGCGATCTTGATTGCATATTAAATTTTCATCGAAGCCAAAGTCAAAGCCAAAGCAATGAGAAAATTACACGCATTGCAGCAGCAGCAACAGCAGCAACAGCAGCAGCATCCGAGAAGATGAAGCAGCAGCTAAAAGTTGTGGCAGCCAATGAATAATCATTAAGGCAACTGCTGCATTTGGCCAATGGCCAAAGTGGGCGGGGGGGCAGAGCCAACTGGACTGGGGGATTGAGAACGGCTGCTCCGTTACCGTTACAAGTGTGTGAAAATGCTTTAGATTTAGCATTAATTTGTAACACAAAGTGCCCAGCCTAGTGTGCGTAAATGTGTGTGTGTGTGTGTGTGTGTGTTCGATTGTTGATCTTAATCGAAACTGTGCGAGAAAATTAAATGGCGGTAGGCAAAACAGTTGCCAGCAAACATGTTGTTGTTGGCCTGAGAAATCGATGTTTGGCTGTTGCTGCTGCTGTTGCTGCTGTTGCTGTTGCTGCTGCAAATGTGGCAGCCGAAACAGGCCTCTGTTGGCCAGCCAGCCAGCTAGCCTAGCCAGCCAGCAGCCGATGCTGCTTGATAAGAGACTTGCCTTCCATTCAAATGAGGTGTCAGGCGCTGCCGCTGCCGCCGCTGCTGCTGCTGCAGATTTTTTTCTTCTTCTTTTTATTAAATTAATGTAATATAAATTATACACGAGCCAGTTGAGCTGAGCTGTGGCCGCAGCTTTGGCTTTCGAGCCATCGAGGTACCAGTCCAGGGTGTTGAGCTGTGTTTAGCTGCTGCCCAGTTTGCTAACTTGTTTCGTGTTGTTTCTGCTGGCGTTTTCAAATGAACAGACAACAGCAACAACAACAACAATAGCAACAGCAACAGCAACGTTGCCTACTGAGGAAAAAAATAAGTAAAGGAGAAAAACACCAAATACAAAAAAAGGAAAGAAAAATAAATGAAAACGTGACTCGCATTGGCAAACAAAACCAAAGTGTCCAGGGTGTGTTTGGGGCCAGCTGCTAGAGATGGCCGCGTGACAGCTGCGTGAGTCACGTGCATGGGCGTGGTGGGATCCCAGCAGCTGCGGTGAATATGATTGCGAACTGCCAGAGAGGTGAATGGCTAAGCTATGACACGAACGAAGGGTGTGGTGGGATCCCAGTAGCTGCGGTGAATTCATCTTCAAACAGCTAAATATGCAAATTAAACTATTTGCAAACTTTACGCAAGTGTGGTGAGATTAGTGGGTGTGGTGAGTTTGGTCAAAGTGTGGTGAGTTGAAACTAAATCTCTCGGACTTCATGAACAGCATGTTTCTAGCATTTATTTTTCTTTTTTGCGCATGCATATGCATGCGCATGCGTGTGCGTGGTGAATTTGGCTGCATTTCTAATAAGCTAACGGTCACGTTCACATCAAATCATCAAACATCACGATCTATATGAGATACCACTGCCAGCCAATAAAAGAATTGTTGGCCTTGTGTGAGAAAAGTAAAAGAAGTAAATATATCTATATACAGATATCTATAAATATATATGTATATAGGTATATCTATTTGGCATGCTCAGTCTCAATCGCTGTCGTTGCTGGCGATTTCAATTTGCGGTCGTCGACGACAGGCTCAAGAGACAAACAGTGAGACAGAGTGAGAGAGAGAGAGAGAGAAATGTTCATAATCATAACTTTATAAAGCTTCAGTTAGAGATTGAGCTTCTCACGAGCGTAACCGCAGCAGCAGCAGCCGCAGCAGCATCCACTGGAGGCTATCGAATGTGCAGCGGTTAATGTTGGTATCCATAACCAGAGGATGATTTAATGTCTTTGCCCGATGATCAGTCATCTTTGCTCTGGTCGGTCGGCTATCTTGGTCTATTTGGTTTATGGTCTATGGCTTCAACTGCTGCTGCTGCTGCTGCTGCTGCTGCAGCTGCAGATCTACAAGTACAACGCCTAGTTAGCTGCTGGTTAACCGAGTTCGCTGGCTGTTGGTTGTTTGTAATGCGCCCTGGGTATCTAATTTCTGCAGAGCAATGCAATTCACACGCTCGCCGCTCGCTAGACAGTTGCCTGGATGTATTCTGCTGAGCTAACACATATCAAGATCGACAAACGACAGTGTGTGTGTGTGTGTGTATGTAGAGGCGTCTGGGAGGCAAGGGGCGACAGAGACAGAGTGAGAGCGAGGTAGCTGTGGGGAGCAGTGCCAAAAAATGCTTATCGCCCGGTTAACATCGCTGTCAATGTCTTTAGCCAGGTTGCAATTAAAGGCTCGGTAAGGCTCGGCGCGACTTGCCTGCGGTTGACAAAAGCGCCCAATTAAAGCATAATTTTCCTTTTTATTTGGCAAAAAGCAATCATGTTGATGTTGCTGCTGCTGCTGCTGTTGCGGCTGCTGCTGCCATGCACCATGATATTGATCTTTGTTTGCAAACTTGAGCAGCCACTCGGCTACGCTTCTCTTGATGAGTTGCTGCTGTTGTTGTTGTTGCTCTTCTTGTGCGTGCCTTGTGTATGCGATCAGTCGAACTCTGTCTCTGTCTCTGTTTCTGTTTCTGCTGCTGCTGCTGCTTCTAGTCTGCCTCTGAGTCAGTTGCATTCACAGCATGCCCATTATGGCAACGTCATTCATTCCACATTGCTCTGCAGCTCAAATCGGACAAAGATCATTCCCTATGCTAATTAGTTGCTTAACCTAAACAATGTTGGTAATTTAATTGACGTTCGTTGGGCTTGATTATCAGCGACACACATTGCATTCAGCACTAACTTATCAAAACAGTGGCGCCCTCTGTTGTCTGAGTTGGGCGACATTCGAGATGACCCCGCCGTCATCAAATGTGATAAGATAATTTTGCATGCGAATGCAAAATTAGAGCAGACCAAATTGCCATTATAGTTGGTCAACTCTGGTGTAAGCTGAGAATCACATAGAAAGGCAAGGGTTAAGATTACAAATAATCCGTGATAAGCCGAGTGCAAGTGTTGAGATCAAAGTATATAACAAAGATTTTTCGATTATTTTTTAATTTCTGAGAATCACCTAGAAAGGCCACATCGCCAAGTTGCCAAATCAGCCAATTGATTTCTGCTTATATGTGTAATGATATTAAAGTGCATAAAATAAACTAAATTGTGCTGTAAAGCCATTTTCAATGGCTGAGAATCACCTAGAAGGGTCATGCTGAAAAACGCTGAGCCAAGATAATTCATATTTAATAATTTTTTTATATTATGATACTATGAGATTAGGTGTCTAAAAGGTCAGCAAACTGAGAATCACCTAGAAAGGACATATTGCAAAAAACCTTTAATTAGACAGCATGATCTCTGATCCTTTTCCCAATACACAACTATATATATCAGAGTATGTGCCTATCCAACTAACTCGAACTGGGAGCTCTTCAAAATTTGCATGTTAACAATCTAATCTGATCTCATTGAGCCATCGAAACATTCTTTCGGCTCGGTGCTCAGTCCTGCTTGTCGTCAATGTCAAAGCTTCGCTTTTTATGGCCAAAAAGAAAAGT